TTAGTCTTTTTTCACTTGGTCCAGACTGTATTGATCTATGGTGACACTTCATTCTACTCAAAAATGTGAAAACTATAACCATAATTGAAAATGCAGCCTCATCACACATTCTTATAATAACCTCTTCATCATCATAATCACCATCCGTCTACATTTTTTACTTATCAATTAAAAATTAAATTAAAAGAATATGATGCCTTTATGGCATGCGCACCTTCTTCAAAAATAAAGAGACTGCACGAAATTATACTATCACAACACATGTACATGACACCAACTCACTATTAAACCCATACATGAAATATGCCTTGTAGGGCTATGGACTTATTAATACCCGTAAAGATTACAAAACAAGCAACCAAGATTTTAAAAATGTCATTGTACCTCTCTACAAAATAAGCATCTAATACGACATGCATTTTATTTTTTTAATCATTCAAGAAAGCGTTATTAAAAAGATACACAAGTGAATAACTATTATGGAACACATATTTTTATAGAACTTGATAGGTTTTTGCAATCTTTCTCAGGTTTTTATATGGACCACAAATTTAATAGTTTAATTTCCAAGGAAATTTAGGAAACTGAGTTGGTATTATCCATCGGATAATTTTATTATACAACACATTAATTTAGGAAACTATGTTGGTATTATCCATCAGATAATTTTATTTATACAACACATTAATTTCTAAGCTTAAATAATACCAACAATTTTACTTCTACAAAGTGAGGAGAAAATTTATCTACTAATAAGGAGGTAAAAAATAATAAAAATGAGTATTGTCACACGGTTAAACCTCCAATGTGTTGATTAACTTGAAAACTTGTTGTAGAACAAACATGATAAATAGCTATTTGTAATCTCTAACCGACTTAAGAAGTTTGCAGATGTGGGAAATAGACCCGCACAAGTTGGGGTTAGGAAATAAGAACTAAAAACTGTCATCAATTGTTCGTTAAATAAAAAAATTAAAAAATTAAAAACAAGCAAAGGATTTGAAAAGTGCAGAAATTGGAGAAAAAAAGTTAAAACTAATTAAGAATTTCTTCAGGCATGCAGTAGTTAATATGAACGCATAAACCCCCAAATCTCAGATAAATTGTTGAGAAAAAATACTACAAATTTCATGCATGATGAAAATTTAACACTAAAATGCTCTATCAACAAGGGATACGTTAAAATAAACAGAGATCAAACCTCTTATGGTTGAAGGTGAGGGAATCACCGTTAACAGTCAAAATCAGAGTGAGCAGGTGCAGATCTGACGACGCCGCAACAAGAAGAAGAAGAAAAGAAGAAGAAATCACCAAAAAAAGACCCTCCCTTTTTGCAAGATCTGACCCAAATCACTCAAAAACTGACCGAATCGTCGTCGCCCGTGCCATTCTAATGATTTTTCATCAGCTGGAAGTATTAATTGAGGAAGAAATAATGGCGAAAGAAAATTTTTAATGGCATAGCAATGGAGAAGGCAGGAGTAGAAGGGGAAAATGATGAGGGAGGCGGTGAAGAGAACCCTAATCTCTTTCTCAGTTTTCCTTCCCGCCGCCTCGAAGATATACCTGCGCGATTATTTTATTCGGCGAGTGGACATTTCCTAGCGATTTCAGCCCCCAACCCACTGAAATACCATTTCTTCAAAAAGTAACGTGGAATCCCATTTCAACCCGTCTTTTCTATAAATCAACAAACGAACCTAACAGGAGAATTAGAAATGTGTCGAAAAATAAATCATATGTCGCACTGAAAGCGGTTTTCAAATCCACCATTTCCTCACTTTTTTGGGCAAACAAACAGCCCCTAATATGAAAATCACTTTTGTGCATAGTTATCTACATTAACCTTCCTATATGGAGTTTGAACCAAGATCACCCTTTATCACTGATTGTACGCGTTATCCTGGTGTCGATTTGGACAGTCATCCATTAGTATGGATTTGACTTCTTCAGAGATAACTATTTGTCTTTTCTACTACTTTACAATTTAGTTGTAATTCATTTTGGATATTTCGACACTTGCAACCGTCAAAAAGAATAATCTTGCAACGAAAAGTTGCAATTATAGCCCCCTTTTTTCGTTTTAAAAACAAAATGTAGTTTTATATTGCAACGATTATAATGAACAAAACAATCTTATGGCAGAAAGTGGAATCAATCAAAGATGTGTGAATATGGGTTTAGGACGCAGCTTTCTTCTCGTCCTCTCCTTTCTTTTCTTTTCGACATCGCCTTCTAGCTCTAGGTGAAGTATGGCCAAAAGTCTCGACTGCTACAAAAGTAGTAATACGCATCCCTTTAAATGCTTGTAAGTTCAACAAGGTAAGAGCTTGTATGTAGCTTTCCATGGTCTCTCACACGCGCACACATTCATGCGCACGCACAGAATCTGAATAATTTCATTTGTAGAGATATGCCATTAGATCTGTGAGATAATGGTCGAATGTCCTGTGTGATCAAACATGATCAGCTTTGCAGGGCAAGAATCTGAATAAAAGGGGTAGGCAGGAGTCACTTATCGTCCAGCAAAGCCGATAATTACAGCCTGAAAGGAGGAGGAAAGAAACAAGGTCAGCTTGTGGTGCGTACATATTTAAGATGGAACTAGATAGTTACTTCATGTATCGCGATCTGAAAAAGGTTGAAATAGCTTCACATTCTTCTAGTGATTTCTTTTCTACAAGTGAACTACAACGCTAGCGTCAAAAGTCAGTATGAACATAAGCATTCAGATGCACACTTGTCGTCCCTTCAGATTGCACATAGCACTATAGGAAATCCCAAGAATATAATTAGTTAAATCATGCACTTCAAGGCTTCAAATTAATTATCAAGTTTCGCTACGTTTTCAGACAGGATATTAATGAATCTCTATAGGCGTATGTTGTTCCCTGTTCAAGATTGATTGCTGTTCATAAAATATAACCCAAAAAAGAAAAAAGAAAAGTGAAGTTGAATTCTTTGGATATTCAAGCTATGAACATTATAGATGGTCTTTCATTTATCTGTAATGCTAGTACTGAAGAGATAACTAATTAAAGAGTTAAAGGCAGATAAACCACTTGTAGTACTGTTATTTGAACTTCACCCCCTTTTAGTTTTGTTGATGCGGTCCATTTGTCAAAATAATAATAATAATAATAAATAACAAATGAATAAATAAATAAATCTCCCTCTCTTTGAGGGTACCATGGTAAAAAAAAATCACTCCGGGGGTTATTCCTAAAAAAACAATTTTCTGTTCTTTTTAGGGTAAATTGGTCAAAAAAGTTGGCTCAAGTGATGTATTTGACAAAAAACAAATTTTTTTTTTCTTTCTTTGTGGTTAAAATGGTCAAAAGAAGTTGACGCTGGGTCTTTGTCAAAGCACAATTACAATTTTCTTTTCTCTGAGGATAAAATGGTCAAAATGGGTTAATCGCACAAAAACCTCCTTTGGGGTTTTTTTTCACATAACCCCCTTGAAACTTTGTTTATCTCACATAGCAACCCTAAATTTTGGGGGGTCTCACAAAACCGGGCTGAACTTTAAACCTTTTCTCACCAGCCCCCCACACCACCACCACCACCAAAACAAAACCAACCAAAAAAATGTAATTATCAAATATCTAAGAATTCCTTTAGAGGAGACCTTACATTGCCTATAAATGACAAATGAAAAAATTTGGAATTTTTCCTCTCAAGGAAAGATGTGATTTGCTGAATGTTACCCAACATCAATGCATTTGATATGAAGGATTTTGGGCCAATCAGCACCTCTCCATCAACGTCTCATTCCTGTTTCGGATCTTCATCTTTTTTAAAGACAATAGCATCTCTGACAATGACCGAAGCTCAAGAGATTTAGAAAGTTGAAAGCACTTGGGGGAAGAGAGAGTTTGGAGGCAAGAAGGCAAGGACTTTGGAATATTGATTAGAGATATCTCGAAGGAAAGTTGCATTTTGCAACAACCATAACTCAGCCTCGCCCTCCAAACTCCTACAATCTCCTATTTTCACCACTCTGACAGATGCAATTTTTTTAATATAATATGAACGACTGCGTAAGTTTCTATAGGGAATAAGGTTTTTTAAGTAGTTCTGGATGGAAAAATAATAGCATGGACTCTGTGTTAGGTCTAGAGATATGTGGCAACTTCTTGCCCATGCTGTGTTGTATATATGAAAAACAAACAAAGGAGCTCACAGAAATGGAACTTAATTTAAGATTGGATGAATAGGAAAAAAGTAAAGATACAAGTTGAATAAGGGTGAAAGTGTTATTAGACTGTTTGCACGGCATAAAATTAGTAGAAACATCATAACCAGTATCCAGGATGCAGTATTCTACGGTTCTATTTTAGAATAAATATGGTCAGTTCATGAACTTCTATCTTTTCATATCTTAGGTGGAGGTATAACAAAGGATTATATATTGCTGATCGTGAAAATTTAACCATAGGATTAGAAATATGCAGACAAGTAAGCAAGTGGAAGAAATGACTCCAAACAGTCACCTTAGAACAAAGGGAATGAACTTGTAAATTGGAAAGAACTGTTACCTCCAACAGTTGCAGACTGTTGTTTTATGAATATCGAAGCTTCCGCCTTCCACATCTCCATACATCACTACATTATGAATAAGCATAGCATAAGCATTTATCTGTAAGAAAAAAGTTCACACTGTAAATCAATGTATATATAAAAGCAAACTGAAACTGATGGTTGTACAAATGAATCCTCAAAATCCAACAGTAGCATAGAATCAATTGAACAATAGTATAAAACATGAAGATGAAAAGAATACCAGAAAACTTCCTGTCGGATGAAATAGGTAAGTCTCTTAAATCCTGTTTGCATGAAAGTGATCAACAAGCTGACAAAGGTGTGGTAAACAAAAGCTTCCACAGCTGAGGTCTTCATCATGTTGTCAAGGAAAATAACGATATATCAAATAAAAGCAGAGTATTACCTCCACAAAAAGACTACTCTCTCACACTGATCAGATATTGACAACATCAAAGCTCAGAAAACCCACATCAACAGCCAACATTTGTTAAGCAATGAGGCAACAGTAGCAGACTACACAATTATGAAATAAAAAGACAGATTGTATTTGGGGCAGTTCAAGATGTTCTTGTAACAAAACCCACGAAGCATGTTACAACAGAATGACCTAGCAAAGGGGCTAGACTGAATACTAATAAAGCACTCAATTTGAATGAAATGATTCTGCGCAGATTAAACTAACAGAACTTCCAATGGTTGTTGCAGTTTACACAAGTCACAAAAGTTGTCATCGGTTCATCAGCTGACCGAGTCTGCAACTGATAATAAGTGCATTTTCGCTGCCCACAACGACCACATTTGAACTGATCAGTAGTAGCCTTAGGAGCTTGTCCTCTCTCACAGTCAAATAATGCCTTCTCTTTAATCTGTTTATTTGCAAGTTTTCTCTCATCACTTGCCATCTCTTCAGGTGTCATATCAACTATTCTCTCCGGTTTCACATGCCCAAGAAGAACTCTTCTTCTGAAATCTGGGTTCTTGCTGTCCTTTAGATTGAACATTATTGATCTATACTTCATCTTGTGAGACCCATTTGAAGAACCAAATTTTTCGTACATAGCAGATTCCACAGTTACAGCTACACGAAATGGGTCACAAGCATCTACTTCATCCAAGATGTTCTTCACTTCATCTCTCTCACTCTCACTGGTCTCCTTATAAACTCTAGAAAAGGCCTCAGCAAGAATTTCACGAAGTTTATCTCTCAATGTGTCATTGCATTTAACTACGGATGACAACTTCGGAAAGCAAGCATGGTCCGATCCACTCCTTTCGGGTTTTTTAGTTTCTGTTTTGGTAATCCTCTCGGCCTTTAGTCCGTTGCTGGAACCAACTTTATTGACCTGCACACTCTGAGATCTTGATGTTATGGATTCGGATCTTGACATCTTCTCTCCCTTGAGAGGCTCTGTCCTCTCAGATTTAGCATCAGACTGCGAAGAACTTTGGGAGCTACCACTTTTCTTGTCCCCTTTTGCTGTTTCCTCAATGACAATATTTTTCCAAAAATTCAGTAAGTCAGAAGCAACTGCCTGAATCTTCTTCTGTGGATGCTTGGCAAGAGCTCGAAGACGTTTACCAACCTGGAATACAAGCAACTGCTGTTTAAATATACTATCCACAGTACAAGTACTTGTGCTCAACAACCATGAGCTGAAACAAAGCAGAGACAGCACTGAATACGAATATTAATACACTGCAACTATATGAACTTTTTGATAAATTATGGACCATGTTATATAAAAGATGTCATTTTAGTTCCACTGTATGTCAACCCACCTACTGAGCTATCCTCAAAGTAATTAAATACAGGTACATAGTTTGAATAATAGAAGAAAATGAAGGAGAACATACGGAAGACGACATAAAAGATTTACTAATATGAAAAAGCATGTCACAGTATGTCAAATGCCAAGGTGAGGAATTAAACAAGATTTTGATGTTATTTCCCTTTGCTGGGGAGGAGAGGGAGCATGGTAAAGGTTTGACTTGGAGACTTACGTCCACAAGAGAAATTACAGGATAGAAGATGGACAGGATAACTAAGGAAAAGGGATAAGCTTAAGAGAGCTTCAGAAAGATAATAGTTAAATATATGATGCGCTCAAAAATAAAGAAAAATATCCCAAAGGAGGAAAATCCTAATCACATAGAAATAATATAGGCCCCGTCAATGTTGGCGGCCTCTGTTGATTTACTTTCCCTTGTAAAAGTCTCGATTTATATTCCCGTTATTTTTAAACAGGCTCATAAACATAACTCAGTTTCAATTATGGGGAAAAAACAAACACAATGATGAAAATACCATCGACTAGACTTTCTCGTTGTCTTCAAGGTAGCTTAATCATGATCTTTGGATTATACTTGTGCAAGTAGGGCCTGACACCCAGAATCTTCCTTGACAAAGAATATTACCAACCTTAAACATGATTTGCAGTTAATTATGTAGAAATCACTTCCTTAACTGATCTACAAACTGTGGGGAAAAAAGTAATAGGAAAGCTCTTCAAAGCAAATTTAAGTGACCAGTCACATGGCATTTTTCAGAGTTACAGCTTTACCAAAATAATGATCAGTGATCAAATTACTATCACAAGGGACCTGCAAAATACACAACCGAAGTATTTAACTATTCTAATAATGATAATTCGCAGGATCAACCTTTTTTAAGCAAGAAAGAGAGAAAATTACAACCATGATATAATGTAAAGAAAATAATAGAATCAACAAGGAAAAATTATTGTATGCACTAAAGAAGCACTGAATATAAAATTTCAAACCAAAATTGGCACACAAAATAAATCATATGTAAGTTGGGGATATAATGTAATAACCAGAAGATTTTTTATGTAAGCAAGCTATTCAACACAAAAGAAAGAAATCCGCCAACTGATTGCCAATGATATTCACAAAACAAAGAAGGGCTTAAAGAGTAAAAATTAAATAGTTATAGTAAAATTATCCCATTGGATATCTAAAGTATTCCAAAAGACTGGTATCTACAAAATTTAGCATATGGTTTGATGATAAAACCAAGGTAATGGGACAAGATAAATTAGTTCAAAATATGCCGAAAGAATATTTATGAACAATATCACATGTTTTTGGAATTATCTAAGCATCGCTTGGGTGACAACTTTTGGAAGTTCAAAGCATAATAAAGAAATCAGAAGAGCAAAAAAGTGAAAGAAAATATATTAAGGAAAAAAGCAATAATCACACTTAAGAAACCTCAATAAAAGAGGAGGGAATAATAAATGTCCGCCAACACGATGTTCAGCAAAATGAGAAGAAAACCAATAGTAAAAATTCTAAATTATAGTATAATTATCCCATATGATATTTATACTATAGTGTTCCCAAAAAACTAGGATCTACAAGTATCTACTTTGATAATAAAACCAATGTATCGGGACAAGATTAATTGGTTCAAAATATGTTTAACAAGCGGTTATAAACAATATCAGAGGTTCTTTGAATGATCTAAGAATCGCTTGGGCAAGACTCTTTAGGAAGGCCTAAGCATAACAAATAAATCATTAAAGTGAAAAAAAAATTGAAAGAATTTATACCAAGGAAAAAAGCTATGACCACAGTCAAGCAACCTCAACAAAATCGAAAATGGAAACATCAAATGACCACATCATTCCGGTAACTCCGAGAACAAGCTAAAACTACTCCTAGCATAGCTAATAATGTTGTCCATTTTAAACACCACAATGCAGAATCCTCCAGTGATATCTGGAAACCCCACAAGACAAAATAAAGCATGCTAGCCACCTCCCTCTCCCCCCTCCCTGTGCATCATCCAATAAATTAACAAAACTTTTACTTTACACATCACTGGGTTGATGAAGAAAGAATTTTTTTGTTTGTTTTCTTAGCACCTAATGTTTAATCAGAACCAAACTTATATGAAATTATATGATGAACAAGGATGGCATCCTATAATTACATAGACCACTGTGCTACTACTAACTGCGTATTAGAAGTAACCACTGTGCTACTACTAACTGCATATTAGAAGTAACTTTTTTATATAAAATTACGGCGTAACTTGTAGAAAACCCCTCCACAATCTCTGAAATCCAACCATCTCTATCCAAAAAAACCCCAAATCTCCACCAGCAAACAAATCGAGGCGACCAAATCACAAACTTGAGCCCGATATCACTTAAAATTATCCAAATACCTGCGTTTTGACGAGAATGCCCATGGTGACCGGCATCTTTCTCAGCCTCTTGAGCGCGTCAACGCACCGATCCGCCTCCGGCGATCCTCCGGCCTCCGCCAAACGCGTCCGCGCCTTCTTCGCCGCCTCGAACGTCTCCAACAGCTCCTTCTCCATTGATCCGATCCGATTCGAATCGAGGAGGATGGAGATAGAAACCCTAGGAATCGATACAAAAATTGGTTTTTAGGGTTCCGACTCTAGCGAAGGAAAAGAGAGCGCATGTTGTTTGCTCCGTGGACTTTATACGGATACGTTGAAGTGAATCGGACGGCTGGTATGTTGACACGTGATGATTGATTGGATTGCTCCTGGTAAGTAGGTGTCAGAAGGGTAGGCACGTGAGGATCACGAGGTAGATAATAAATGGTATTTATCTATGCACGTGGAATTGAAAGACCCGAGTTTTCACCCCATAAGTTGTTGTCTGACATATGGACCCCGCGGGAGCTGGTTTCATTGTGATGTCCCCGTTGCGAGTCGGTTGCACTTTGAGGCAACTCTAAACAGATTCGGGTTTGCAGCTTCTCGGTTATCCACCCGGAACCCAACAGTACAATATCCAAAGGCACATCAATATGTGGGCATGTTTGGCTTATAACTTATAATCCGTAAATGAATTATAAGCTTTAAATGGATAATAAGGTAGAAGTTCTAGATAAAAATTAATTATAAGTTGCTTTTAATAAGAGAGTGTTTAGCAAGTGGGTGGATTATAAATTATCATTGTTGTTAAAATGACCAAAATAACATGATTTTAAATTTAAACATTGAATAGACATTAGAATTATCTTAAATGTTAAGGGGTAAATTTGACATTTACTTTGTCAAGCCATATGGCTTATAAGCCACCAAAAAATATGTTGAGTGAATGGAGCTTATTTTTTGGGCTTATAAGGCAAAATAAGCCAGTTATAGTGGCTTATAAGTTACAAAAGTAGCTTATAACAATGATGAGAAGAGAGAAAGAGAAAGACGAGAGAAAATAGAATTCTGGATAATTTATTCAATGGGAGGTTATGTAGCATTAGTTACTTATATTGTCTAACTCAATATGGTGGATGAGAATATTCTAATGAATAAACTCATAATTTGTTACAGTAATTATTGTTTTTCGTGTGCATTATATCATAGACAATAGGCTAAATTTAAAAATAAAAAATAAAAACCTTGAAATTTGGGCTGATTTTCACAAAATCCTCCTTAACTTTAAAAATAGTGTATAAGTTGTTAGATTTGTCTTCTTTTTTTCCCCTTCATCATAAAAATATGTGTCCATAGCAAATCAATTGTTTTGTTTACTTACGATTGTAAAATGATATACAAACTGTGCTCTGAAATCAACTAAAATTATTGGCCTAATATTAGTTTTTTCTTAAATTAGTAAGTAATTTCCAATATTTTTTTGTAGCGAAATTGGTGTAGTGCTTGTTGCATTTTTTTTTGGAGAAAAAAAGCCTCCACCCACTTGTGGCTTTTAAAGGTCGAGCTTTGTTCATCAAATGCTTTAACTCCCTGGATTTTTATTTCATATGTGAAACTCCCTGTCTCCACCCACATTAATGGAGACGATGAGCTCATTAGGAAGAGATATGTCATGCATGATAATAAATTAGGGGTAGTTTAGGGTTAATGCAAAATATGGGTGGGGATGGGGGGTTTTCACAAATGGGATAAAACTTTAGGAAGTTGAAGGCATTTGCCTTTTTTGTTTGGGGTTAGGAAACTTGGTTTTTAAAAAACCCAGGGGGTGGAAGAAGTTTTTTTCCTTTTTTTCTTTTTGATAAATTATAAATCTAATTATATTATAGAACTTTAGCAATTGATTGTATGATCCAGCGTGGTAACTATGTTTTTTCTTGGTACCAAACTGTTATAGCCTGCAAATAACTAAGTGTTAATCTTTCTTGAGTTATCGACACGAGTCCCACTCCATGCCAGATCAAGTATATTCAGAGCCTAGACGACTCAAATCGCTATTGCGACCGACTTCAACAATTTACATGGCCGACTCGAAAGGTGGTATTTGCCGACCTACCTATCAGATCGAGCTCACAAGCCTCCACACTTGGCTCACTATCTTAGCCGACAATTCTCATGGCCGGCTAAAAAAATGGTACTTGTCGGCCTATCCACCGGATCGATCCTATAAGCACTCGCACTCGACCTACTGTTTTAGCCGGCAACTTGCTTAGCCGAGTAAAAGACGGTGTTAGTCGGCCCTCCACTAGACGACTGAAGAGGCGGTACTTCTCGCCCTTCTCGCAAGGAGTCGTCCCTTCTCGACAGGCAGCCTGACTCGTCCCTTCCCGCCAGGCCGAGTCGTTCCTTCTTGCTAGGTCGAGTCGAAAGGCGGTCTTCTTCAAGCCTCTCTTCAAAAGTCAGTCATCATCACATTAAATGCATGATCAAAAATCATCATTACTCCAGCCCCAAAAGCCTTACGACTCATCAGGCTTCGTAAGCACCAAGCAACTGTTGTCGCTTAGCACTAACCACCTGGATGACCCATCTTCGCCTACGACCGACACCTATAAAGACACCTATCGAGTCAACTGTCTACCTGAATACGGCTCAAGTTACATATCTGCCATTCCGATCCTCCATAAAAGGAAGCCATGCAGCTCAAGACAGCTCTCGGGGGATTTACACACAACTTTGAAACAAACCTTCTTCATCATCTCATATTTTCCCACTTAAGTTCATATACTAACTTGATCATCGCAGGAACAATCGGAGAACCCAACTCCCATCTCTTTCAAATTCTTTGTGTGCAGGGAAGAATAGTGATCTGCACAGCCAGTCATCTGAAGGAGTTTAAGGACCCTAACTCTGCTATAATCCATAAATAAACCCCCTGTTGATAACTGGCATCAGCAATTTGGCGTCCACTGTGGAGCTTGTCATCCTTCTTCATATGAGATGTCTGGTTCTGAGCATTATGGTCGAACTTTCGACCCACTCCCTAAAGAATCGTGTGCGGGCTATGTTATGGTCAGATTGTGTAGATACTTTAGGAGAAAATAATGTTCCTGATTTTGTGTAAATTAGTTAGGGGTAATTACTGATTTTTCCTGATTTGTTGCTAGTTAGTTTCCTTTTTTGTTAGGATTCTGTTGTATAAATAGCCTACCGAATGTACTCTAATTTAGTCAAGAGCTTTGCTACAGGGACCCAAAATATGGGACCAATAAATGGGACAAGTGAAGTGTCCCCCTCCTATTGGATAATGAGTTGGCCATCATTAATGATAGCCAACTCATTATCCAATAAGAGGGGGACACCTCACTTGTCCCCCCTATTTGTCCCATATTTTGGGTACTTAAAGAGTTTTTCTTTAGTCAATAGAGAAAGAATTCATTCCTCTAATTCAACTTGGTATCAGGGCTCTATATTGAGACTCAAAAAAAATTCTTTCAACGCAATTCCTTCCCTTTTTTCTGTGTTACTTCACCAGGAAAATCCTACTGTTCTTTCGATTCTTAGTGTCTAACTGAGAATGTATCTCAGATCTTTGGAAATAGTTCAACCCAATAAACTTTTGCTAATGACAACTCTACCGCTATTTCAACCAGAGACCTGTAGAACATCCAATCTACATATCATCTGAATGGGAAGAATTATTTGAAGTGGTCCCAGCTTGTCCGAACTTTTCTGAAAGGTAAGAGGAAAATGAAGCCACTTGCTAGGTACGGGGCCCTTTGAAACAGATCCGAAGTTTGCTGCCTGGGATGAAGAAGATTCAGTGGTGATACCTTGGCTATGGAATTCGATGCAACCGAAGATTAGTGATACGTGTATGTTCCTTGGAACCGTTAAGGAGATTCGGGACTCTATTCGACAAACATGCTCGAAGGTTCATGATGCTGCCCAAATCAATAAAATTAGAATGAATATTTCTGGATCCAAACAAAGGGCTCGAACTATCACGGAATATTCTGATTTTTTGCAGAGTTTATGGCAAGAGTTGGATTATTATCAGTGCATAGAGATGCGTTGTAGCAAGAATGCAGCTCTGTTAAGACGATTTATTAAAAAAATGTACTTATGATTTTTTTGGTAGGATCGAATGTGGAATTTGATGCTATTAGAGTGCAGGTTTTTGGAAAAGAAGAGCACCCTCCTCTGAATGAAGCCAACACCAATACCAAACAAACATCCCACTTATTGCGTCTAGTACGAAGTGGAATAAATCCATGACAACGGACTCAATCCACAACAAGTCGAGAACCCAAAGTGGCTTCATCAAAATGACTTCCTATGTACCCCCTCTCCCAAGGGGATCAAGCTATCCGTAGTTCACCCAAATGGCCGTTAACAACCTCAACAATTACGAATATACAATAAGTTTTGATAATAATCAAACTTGTTGCTCAAAATCACCTTAGTGAGCATATCCGTCGGATTATCCTTCGTATGGACCTTCACAATCTCCACATCGTCATCTTCAAAAATATCTTGAACGAAGTGATAACGAACGTCAATGTGCTTCGTCCTCGCATGAAAAACATGATTCTACACCAAATAGATAGTACTCATGCTATCACAATGAATGGTGACATACTGCTATGAAATACCAAGTTCCTTCAAAAGTCCTTGAAGCCAAATAGCCTCCTTCATAGCCTCTGCAATTGTTATATACTCTGCCTCCATCATCGACAAAGACACCATAGATTGTAAGGTGTATCTCCAACACACTGGCGCACAGGTCAAAGTTACCACATACCCCATTGTATACTGGTACTTATCCAAATCCCCGGCATAATCCTAATCAATATAGTCAATGCACAATTACCCACCTCTAGTGTCCCGCTCAAAAACTAAACCAAAATTAAGGCTAACACGAATGTATCTCAAAATCCATCTCACGACGTCCTAATGACACACTCCTGGATCGTGCATGTATCTCGAAACCATGCTCACCACCTGTGACAAATCCGGCCTTATACATACCATCGCGTACATCAAGCTCCCAATCACGCTCGCATATGGAGTCTTCGATGTTAACTCTCTATCTTTAACTATCTTCGATGAAAGGTCAACTGAAAGCTTCAAATAGGCTCCCAAAGGTACACTGACTGGCTTCGTATATATGCTAACATTAAACCACTGTAGAACCTTCTTCAAATAAGCCATATGTGTCAAACAAATTCTGTCATTCTCTTTGTTTCTATCGATCTCTATCCCCAAAATGCGCTTTGCCTCACCC